AACATTCTAATCTCTTGAAATAATTAAAATAGATTTTATATAAATTATTCAAGATTGATCACAGAAAGAATAAAAGGAAGAAGTTAGAAGGGAAACTATAAGAATACAAACCAAAAGTGACAATATTAAGATATTATAAAGCTACAAAGAGTATCACATATGTAAGTATAAAAAACTGTTGCCGGCCGTGTATTCCGACTTACAGCACAGAGTAGAACTACCCCGTAGGATTTCCAAGGAGCAGCTGGTGGATTCAAACTGCTGACTTTTTGGTTAACAGCCCAGAGCTCTTAACTACTACACTACCCGGGCTCCGTATAGTTAAAAAAAAAAAAGAAAGAAAGAAAATTAATAAAACAAATCAGAAAAAGAATCCCATTGCCCTCTACTGGTTTCCAACTCATAGCGACCCTGTAAAACGGAGTAGAACTGTCCCATAGAGTTTTCAAAGAGAAGCTGGTAGATTGAACTGCCAACTTTTTTTTGGTTAACAGCCGTAGCACTTGACTACTAAGCCACCAGGGTTTCCACACCACAAATATAGAGCATAATAACTATTATATGATCATTTATGATACACTGGTGTTGAATATTTTATGTATTAAAATTATCCTATTTATATTTTTAATTTATGATTTTTTAATCAATCTAATTTTTAGATGCACAAGGAAAAAAAAAACAATTATGTCCACCTCCACCTCACCTTCCCAATACTCAAGATATGCAAACGACAGTGAATTATGAGGATGGAGAAAAAATATCTATTCTCTGTCAAGAAAATTACCTAATTCAGGATGTAGACGAAATCGTGTGCAGAAAAGGAAGATGGCAGTCTCTACCTCGCTGTGTTGGTTAGTAGTTCGTAACTTGCTTTAGAACATTCATTCAAAAGGAGGTTAATACTCTACAAGGCTTTGCATAATTGAACAAGAAGAAGACCTTCCTTTAAGTCTTTACCTAAAACAGTGAATTATAATCTTTGTGCCCAAATTAATCAGCGTTCATTCACTTATACTGTGAAATAAATACAGACAAAAGACTTAGGGATATTATTTAAAAATCAGATAAAGATTTTTATTATTATTTCATTCCTCAGGATGAACAGGAGAAGAATGAAGGGGGATACTTAACAAGAGGATAGTAGCATAGATATTGTGGCGATGGATATCCTTGAAAGTTTCAGAGATATGTTGTTTTTAAACAATGATTTATTTAAATAACTTTTATTTTATAATTACAAATACTATTTTTTTAGTTTTTTAATTTAAACATATTTATGTTTGACCCTTTGATCTCTATTGTTCATACAGAAAAAATTCCATGTTCTCAACCACCTCAGATTGAAAATGGAACAATTAATTCAACTATATTTTCAGAAGAAAGGAAAGAAACATCCAAACCCAGATTCTACCCACATGGCACTAAATTAACTTATATTTGTGAAGATGGTTTCAAGCTATCTGAAGAAGATGAGATAACATGCCACATTGGAAAATGGAGTTCTCTACCTCAGTGTGTAGGTGAGGGCATATAAACAAGTTAAATTCTGTTTTCAGAATAATTTATTAAAAATAGTCAGTTCTCATCAAAGTCATAAGACAATATGTAATTTAGAGATATATATGTTTATATATTTCACCATTAAAATGATTTTTTGCATAATCAAATCAATTTTATTTTTGTTAATTTCACTAGTTCGTTATAAAACTACTTTAAACTCTGCCATTTATTTTGTCTTAAAATACAATGCATGGAATAATTAAACCTAGCT